CCCCCCCCACGCTCCTGTCAGCATGTGTTGATCTCCCTCCCACTCTCCCCCCTCTGTGCTGTGTGTGGTAGATGGGTCAAAGAGAAAGACTTAAGAGACCCTAAAGGTTCGGCACAGATTTGAGGAGAGCAGTCAGAAAAGACGGGAAAAGAAAGTGGGCAGACAGAGAGGAACCCAGAGAAAAGGAGAAGAGAGTTTGGCTCTGTCGGACAGTTGGTGTGGAGTTGTCGAGGGGGAAGGGGAGGATTTCAGGGGGGAGGGGTGGCTTGGGGGGTAGACAGAGGGGAACATGCTGGCTCACTCTTGAAGTGTCAGAGTGTGTACAGCGGGGCTCTGGAAAAAGGAGAGCGAGCGCAGAAGCTCGTCCGCAGTCCGTTGAGCCGCTGGGAAATGGATGAAGACTGATTCGCTGCTCACTCATTTATTCGGATGAGGATCCCCTTGAAGGTAGCAAAATCATGGATTCTGACTCGGACTCTCCTTTCAACTACTCCTGGCCCTCTTTTCCCAAGATGAGGATGCGCAAGAAGACGGGCAAAAAAGGTAACCCTGATGTTTTTCCATCCCGTCACACAGACGGTCATTTGGTCGGTCGCTGTTCAAGTTGACAGGGTCACTATTTCATCTCACAGATGGTCAAATACTGTCTGTACAGTTAAAGAGCGAGCAAAGTGCCACTGATATGTTCGACAGACGTTCCACGCGTGTGGTTTAATGTCATAAAGAATGTTTCACGTCTGTTCAGTTTCCCTGTTTCTCAGCTGCATCCCTTTCCTCGAAGCATCACGTTACAGACGGCCTTATGGAAGACATCGCCACGAACGCTCACCGTGGAACAATACAGTTAAAATTAGACTGTTCCTATTATACATCGGTGCTCACAGGCCTGGGCCCCAAGTCCATCGGAGTGGGACGTCTGCTGGTGATGTAACCTGATATGTGACAGTATGTTGGGGAATGTCAGACGTCCACTCGAAGTCCATTGGGTGCTTTTTGGGGGGCCTTGATCGTCCTCGGTCCTCACTGTTGTGTGTGTGTGTGTGTGTGTGTGTGTGTGTGTGTGTGTGTGTGTGTGTGTGTGTGTGTGTGTGTGTGTGTCGAATGGAAACCCTCCGAGGAGTCGTGGCCCCGTGTGACTAGCTAAAGTGGAGGCCCCATGCTTAATGTGTGCCTATGCTCAGGCACCTGCTCTTAATTTCAGCGATGTGTCACCGAAGTGCCATTGGATGATGAATTTCCGAGAAACTGCACCAAAATCAAGTTAGTCCCGGTGCCTGAACTTAACACACAAGCGTGTCGCCTCGTCGTGTGAGAGCTGAGGTGGATGCTTAAAATGGTGCCAAATTAAACCGGAATGGTTAAACAGTTCATCGCTTGCATACAAGTGACTATTGGACAGAGAGAGAGAGAGAGAGAGAGAGAGAGAGCGAGAGAGAGAGATAAAGTTACTGCCATGTGTGTGTCATGGCCCAACTCCAGCGGCCTCTTTTAACCGTAAACCTCTGCGAGATTATCTGTGCTATTGCTTCTAAATTGTGATTGACATCTGCACGTTTTACACGCTGCCTTTCTGTGCCGTTCAGAAGAGTAGAAATAGCGGCACTGTATAAACTCTTTATAAATATGTCGTGGCTTTAGAAACTGGTGAGAGGCCAAACGGCTCTGGCGGCAACAATGCACCTGCAAAGTGAAATGTGATTTCAGGTGTGCGGAAGCCACGAGTTTATTTCTTCACTCTTGAGTTTACCTCTCCCTGGATCTGTCGGAGCAGGGTGACTCACTGAGACGTAAACATGGCTGTGAGCGCAGCGGTGAGGGGCTTGGACCGGTACGTTTTGACCGCAGGTGTCATGACTCAAAGACCGGGTTTTTTGGACTCTGGTGGACAATTGTTTTAACGATTCGAAAAGGCCCTCCATCGAAAAATAATGAGCTCTCTTATAAGGTAATAACCGCTCTTTGTTTTGATTCCTTTAGACCCTGCTTGTTATTTCACTCTGCTCCCAATTTCTCCCGGCTCTCTCCGGAGTGACAGTTGTTTGGTGCGATGCTTAAAAAGCTGACTTACATCATAACAAGTATAATAACCCATTTTATACTCATAATAAACAATCGGAGGTGTTGACGCAATTAACAATTAGGATCTCTGTCTGCCTTGAACATTTCGTTTTTTTGCCATTTTCAGCACACCAGCGGCCTGAGAAAGAGAGTCAAACCTTGAGAAAAGAGCCCTTGTGACGGCCCCGCCTCCCCCACTCTCCATCCTGCCTCCCTCAACCTCCCTCTCCCGTGGGGTGTGCACGGGGTTGAAGGGTCACTCTCTGTGTTTAACTGCCCTGGTCTGGAAACCTGGCCACTGACTGCCGCCTTTGTCTGCGTCTCCGTAAAGCTCTGGCTCTCTTTTTCTCCTCTCCAAGCGGCGCTACTGTATAGGGTTGGCTATCGCTCAGGGACATGCTCTGAATATCACATTGCTCGTCGAATGCACCGTCTGTTGAGCAGAATGCTATAGAAACAGCCCCACGCGCTGCTCCGCATTCCTCAAAAAACCCTCCTAAAAATAGCAACCCGCGGACAGCGGTCTGCGTCCCCTGCTAGAAAGACGGCCTCCCCCTGCGAGAAAGATTGATTTTGCTATGTTGTTAGAAATATGAACTCCTCGCTCCTCTGTTATTCCCCCCAGTTAACTAATGTTAAACACAGATCGCGGCGCCTGACAGCAATGTTCACTGAGGCCATGTTTATGGGTCAGGAGAGGTGTGTGAGCGATCGGGGCCCCCGTGGCAGCCAGCTGCGGCTTTGGACCAGGCCCCAGAACCTTTTACTATTAGGCCCCGTCTGTCAAGTCCTTAAGTGGGTTTATGTGAAACGATATCTGCTTTCAAACAGCGTTTTTGACCCAGGTCCACAATCTGCCCCCGTCTCTGGATTCGTAGAAGGTCTGCCATGACTTTAGTGGACGTGGCTTGTCACACGGGTTCATGTACATTATGATGTTTTCATGTGGAACTAAGAGGATCCAGACGTTTTAAGAACAGCAACTTGCGGTACATTTAGGTTCTGGGAGATATGATGCCGATACTCCATGACTTTTAGGGTTGATGTGGAGTCGGCTCCTGCGGTGGTTCAGCTGGAGGCTTTTGCATTTGTTGTGGATGGAGCCGGACTCATCTGGTGTCCTCATCAATGTCTGCTTGACTCCCTTTTTGCGTCTCAGATTTATAGCACTCTCCGCCTGCAAGAAGCGCAGCCAATTGTTGCTCTGATTTACTCTCTGCGGCGCTGGCAGCTGGGAATCTACGCCGAAACCGAGGGTTTGCCATCGGTTCGATATCTGCTGCATGAGTTTAGGGGGTGAGAGCGGTGCCAAAGACATGTTTTTGCACCTTTGGCTTTGTTTCAGGCACGGCTTGGCCAGCGTGAGGCGAGACATGTCATTGGGAACATAATAATGTAACTGAGCTAATGAGGCTGCCTCTGCTGGTTAGTGTGACGAGCACTGCATTAACAGTTGTTAATGTGGTTAAAAGTTGTTTTTTTTCTCGTGAATGCTTTGCACCAATTTCCTTGTCATTTGGTGATGTAGTTTTCTGTCTCCTGTTCATGACCAGCCAGCTGTGAAACTATTTTAAGGTGGTCTAAGGGCTTCTTTTTTTAGACCAGATTGTGTTTTGTTCAAATGTTCAGCAATCATACTGCGAGAAATTCATCATTAAAGAGACGGAGACAAACCTGCAAAAGCAAGTCAGTCCTCATTGACTTCTATGTTAAAATCATAGGCTGTGTATAAGTAGTGGACGTAGTCATCGTGACATCACCCACCGGTTTGTGGACTGTCGTTCTGAACCTCGATGTGGCCGTCGCCGTCTTGGATTACGGCCGTCACCATCTTAGCTTTTTGCAACCAGTGACCATATTAGGACTACAGAGCAGTGACGTAGAGCCGTAGTATACGTATACGGTAGCAACCTGTCAATCACAGTAAGCCCGCCCTAAAGCATACTCTGCTTTATGGTCTATTTGACTCTAAATGGACCATAATTTACTAAATGAACATCATGTTGTATTGAAGAATACTTTAAACTGGAGATTGAGACCATAAACTCATGTTTACAATGTTTTCTGAGGGAATATATCAAGTGAGAAGTAGAGTCATTTTCTCATAGACTTCTATACAATCTGACTTGTTTTTGCAACCAGAGGAGTCACCCCCTGCTGGCCATTAGCATGAATGCAAGTATAAGGCACTTCCGCATCGGCTTCATTCGTCAGAACATGGTTCTGGTGTCTGTATTTAGCATCCCCGCTCATGACAACTGCACTAGAGATACATTTTTATACAACTCACCCGTTTAAATTATGTTAAGTACGACATAATTGAGGGCATGGACTCTTTGAGTGAAAGCTGGCGGCTGTTCCAGGTCGCTAGCTGCTAGCTCTCTCCTCTGCTGTATCAACCGGGCCCGCCTCAGCTCCACCGAAGCTATTTACCCATTTTTAAAGTTGGGCTGTGTCGTGTCTGTGACGGCCGGAGCCTCCCACTTACCTTTTAGGTAAACCTATGGGTGAGGTCACAGAGGCTACGTCCATATTTTATACAGTCTATGTATATAGTCCACAGACATGCAGTATATAAAGTGTGGGCACCATATACTGTATACACCATATGAATAGAATTGTGTGTACATTTTGATGTTCCACTGTATATTTTGTGAAGGTATGTTTCATTACAATGTGCAAATGAGCTTAAACAGCGCTCCACTGTGTCATCAAAGGTTCCTGTTGTAGTGGCTCATAACGCTCTGCCTCTTTGTGTTTGTGTGAACTTGCAGGTTGTTTTCTAACCTGGAAGACTTTCCAAGAAATCGTGTTTGTGGAGAAGCTGTGTTTTGTACAGAGCAGCCTCCCAGAGAAGGGTAGTGTGTGTGTGTGTGTGTGTGTGTGTGTGTGTGTGTGTGTGTGTGTG